GCAAGAATGTTGGGTATGATGCAAGAATGTTGGGTATGATGCAGGAATGTTGAGTGCGATGCTGGAATGTCGGGTATTATGCAAGAATGTTGGTATGATGCAAGAATGTTGAGTGTGATGCTAGAATGTCGGGTATTATGCAAGAATGTTGAGTGTGATGCTAGAATGTTGGGAAAGGTGCAAGAATGTTGAGTGCGATGCAAGAATGTTGAGTATGGTGCAAGAATACTGTGTATGATGCATGAATGTTGGGTATGATGCAAGAATGTTGGTATGATGCAAGAATGTTTGGTATGGTGCAAGAATGTTAAGTGCGATGCTAGAATGCTGGGTATGATGCAAGAATGTTGGTGTGATGCAAGAATGTTCGGTATGGTGCAAGAATGTTGGGCATGGTGCAAAAATGTTGAGTGCGATGCTAGAATGATGGGTATTTTCATCGCGCTCTTTTGGGTATTTCGATGCTAGAATGTTGGCAGTCAGATTTCAATCCCTGCGGGAAGGATCACTCTCAGTGGCAGGACCAAGGCTGTTCAACGCCCTACCAAGGGATCTAAGAGAGGGGGAGTTCACCCTGGAGACCTTCAAGAGACAGCTAGACGTGTTCCTGAGCACAATCCCAGATCGACCTCCCCTGCAACACTACCAGCGGCGAGAAGCAAGCAACAGCATCGTGCATCAGGTGGCCCAAATGAGGGCGGATGAACGATAATCAGAGGCGGCGATCCATCGTGGCCTGGGACTGCTGTGTCCCAAACAAATACTAAGGATACTAAGGTATGATGCAAGAATGTCGAGTGCGATGCAAGAATGTTGGATATGATGCAAGAATGTTGAGTGCGATGCTAGAATGTTAGGTATGGTTAAAGAATGTTAAGTGCGATGCAAGAATGTTGGATATGATGCACGAATGTTGTGTGCGATGCTAGAATGTTGGGTATGGTGCAAGAATGTGGAGTGCGATGTAAGAATGTTGAGTTTGATGCTAGAATGTTGGTATGATGCAAGAAAGTTAATATGATGCAGGAATGTTGGTATGACGCTATAATGTTGGGTATGATACAAGAATGTTGAGTATGATGCAAGAATGTTGAGTATTATGCAAGAATGTTGGGTATTATGCAAGAATGTCGAGTGCGATGCTAGAATGTTGGGTATGATGCTAGAATTTTGAGTGTGATGCTGGAATGTTGGGTATGGTGCAAGAATGATGAGTATGATTCAAGAATGTTGGTATGATGCAAGAATGTTGTGTATGATGCTAGAATGTTAGGTATGATGCATGAATGTTGGGTATGATGCAGGAATGTTGGGTATGACGCAAGAATGTCGGGTATGATGCAAGAATGTTGGTATGGTGCAAGAATGTTAAGTGCGATGCTAGAATGTTGGGTATGGTGCAAGGAAGTGTTAAGTATGATGCAGAGTTTATAATCTGATGCTGGAATGCTACGTAAGATGCTGGAATGTTGGCTATGTCGTTGGAATGTTTGCATGGTATGACTCTGGAACGTTGTGAGTTATGTTGGAATGTTATGTTTGATAATACTATGTTGTTAGATCCGAGACAGAAATGTTAGGTAAAACGCTAGAATGTTAGGTATGTTGCTGGAATGTTAGTGAGACGCTAGTATGAAGGACTAGGTGATGACACATTGGAGTATAATGATGGAATGTTGGGCATCATCTTGGAATGTTGGGCATCATCTTGGAATGTAGGGTATGTCACTGGAATGTTTGACGTGGAGCTGGGATGTGGGTAAGATATTAGAATGTTAACGGAAGTCGGTAGCGTTCAGTGGCAACAAGTGGCGGGCAGTGGCAACAAGTGGCGGGCAGTGGTAACAAGTGGCGGGCAGTGGCAACAAGTGGCAGGCAGTGGCAGGGGTGGCGGGCATTAATTCGATAGGGCGACAGTTGGGCGGCAACAGCTGCAGTCGCGGGGCCGCCCTGGGCATGGGTACTGCAGCGGGGGAGGGGTGGGGGAGGGGCGGTGGTAGTACGGTGGTGATGTGGTTGTGCTGGTGGTATTGGCCATGGTAGTATGGTGGTGGTTGTATCATTGATAGGCGATGGAAGTGTGTTTTTTGTATGCTGGTAGTGATGGTATTAGCGATGGTGGCAGTGTGATGATGGTCGTGGTGGTGATAGTGATGGCGCGGTTGTTGAGCTGAAGTTGGGTGGAGTAGTTGCTTTCTAGATTATGGTGTGGATAGCTGTGGTGGTTGTAGTGGTGGGGTGGGTGGTGGTGGTCGTGGTCGTGTGATGGTAGGCGTGGTTGCCTGTCGGTTATTAACACTACCTAGCTCGGCATGGACTAGCACGAACCCTTCCTACATTTACGTAGCTTCTTACAATTGTTACCGGTCACGTTGCCGACCCCAAGTCACAAAAACCAAAATATATCATTTGAATTAAACCAGTTCCTCATGTAAAGAAGCCGGGAATAGTGTGGCCCAGAATCGTCCGCAAATACACGAAATTATTCTGCACCAACCGGACAAAGCGCGTAAACCCTCGGTGCATTCATCCTTTACACCAACCAGCCGCCGGTATTCATCCCTTGCATCGAATCGGCCCATGATCAAACGGACACTCGTCGAAAAAGGATTGATTTTAGAAAATAACTTTGCTGTTATTTGGTGATTATCGTAGCTTCAGAGGCTTGTGAATATAACTTTACTGTCTGAAACCTAATCTCATATACTGTTAGCTAGAAGTAACGTTATTCAAGGATGGTACGGAAACCATATTCGATCCGCGGCCTGGCAGTGCAAGGCAGGTTTCGTGGACTACTAAAAAGAACTAAGCAGGTTGGCCACATTGCGTCGTGCGCTGATTATAGTTCCTGGCAAGGTTCTGAAGTTATGCTTCGATGAAATCTTTCATGGCATCCACAAAGCAAACTAATAGTTCAAGAGCTCTGAGATACTGGCATGGGATCCTCCATCTACTTATAACACCTACCTCTACTTATAATCTTCGATTCACTTCGATTCATCTACTTATAATCACACATCGATTCAGCTCCACAGAGCGTTCTCTGAACCTGTAGTCTCTTCAGTAGATGCGTGTTGACACGTGGACGTCTGTGTGCGGGCGCCCATACAACTTCTCACACACACCACCTACACGACGAGGCATGCTGCACTTGCACGGCAGGTGTAACGAAATGCTGTTGTCCGGATAACGATTACTGACAACCTATTAAGAAACCCACCGAGAGTGACACACAGAAAATCGAACAGGCGCCGTACCAACTTGGTCCAAAAACTTTTTACTAGAGGTATGAGTGGCATAGTTAGCATAGGGTTTGATGATAGTGTGATGGGATTTTGCGTCATTGGTGTAGGCGGTGTGTAGGTATAATACCCCCAATTTTATAATGTTGGTCTCAATAGCCCTCTGCGAACCTTAATGCACATGGCAGAACTTCGTGTGTAGGATAGCAGCATGACGGCAGTTAACATTTATCGCGTATATATACGGTCAGTATCTACTGTCAGCATCTACTGTCAGCATCTACTGTCAGTATCTACTGTATATATCTACTGTCAGTAAATACACTCACAGCTAATTAGCTATCTAATTTCATCATTGCCCTTTTGGTTCACTTTTACGTGGTGCTCCGGTAAAAATTCATTCAGAATGGTTCATTGCCGTGCTGCCGACCAGTGCGATTTCGAAGATTCAAAATGGGATGCTTGGAAGGGTTACTTCGAGATCTTCCACAAAGCTACGAAAATCGACTGTGAAAATTACAAGACTCAGATCTCCCGCATTAAATATGTGTGATGGGGATTTGGAGAATGCTGTGAATATTTTCGGTTCAACAGCGAAAACAACAGTAGAAAGTTGAGATGGTTTCAAGAAAGTTCGACGGTCATTTCGAGTCTAAATTGAAAGTTAAGCGCAGGCAACAGTTCCGGAAAAGTATTCAGGTAACTTTGTGTAACTGGCGAGACAAGAAACTACTACTTGAGAGCCCTTTTCTCGTTGACTGGAGTTTGCGAAATTGGGGATAGTGAACAAGGATTGAATACGGTATCAGTTAGTCGCTGAAACAGCCTATACAAGTAGCAAAGAAACTTAAATATCTTTACCTCAAAAACTTGATAAGTATACACGTACTGGAGTCGCTCGAGAACGATGGCATGCCAGAAGCAGAGTTCATGAAATCGTCAATGCGTCAAAAGCTCGAGAGGACCGCGAAGCCGACATCTTCGTCTTAGGTAAATTTATTATTAAGAGTACAGGGGCACTAATGTATGTAAAATATAGGTACTAGTTGGTAGCCGTCAGCCAATCACTTACGTCATTTTAAGCTAAACCCACCAATCACAAACGAAAAATAGGCCGCTACGTCTACTTAGGCCGCTACGTGTACTTAGGCTGCTACGTGTACTTAGGCCAGTTTTTATAGTGCGGCCTCAGCTCCCATACAGTGTAGAACTGAAAATAATGTGGGTGTCTATGTGTTAAATATTAAGGAGATGATTTACTGAGATCGTTTTATTTGCTACTCTGTAAAAATGAGACTAACAATATACTGAGAAGCTTAGTTTCTGCAGCCCAAGTAATAGTTAAGTTACTGGCCCAAGACGATACAGACGGCTTCTCGTTGGGGCTTATTAATTCGTATACAACTACGATGAAATTAACTTGAAAAAATATTCAAATTATTATGCCTGAGAATCTGACATTATTTCTATTCATTTGCTGGGATCAGTCAAGATGCAGAGGTATTTGTTAAGATTTAGTGCCTCCCACTCCATATACTGCTGGATGTACAGCGGCTACTTCGCTTCAAAGTTAGTTTGTGAAAGATCTGCTCAAAAGGCAAATTTTTTTTATCCAGAAAACAAGTGAAGAACATTACAGGAATCGGCGATAGGCCAAATTTGGCCTATTCTTCAACGCCGACACTATTATACCAAGCTATATAATATGTAAATTATTAATTTATATTATATGTCAGTAATATTATGATAAACGACAGCATGTCTGAGAATGTCGACACCCCCTACGAGTCGACCAGTCGCACGGTCCCAGTAGTGTTCAAGCGCGGGGAGGGACATAAAAGTTCACATTCCCGTTGATATTCCCAAGCTCAATCTTAGTTTGGAGCGAGAACAGTTTTTTAAATTCGAGGAGTTATCTTGTAAAAATGTAAATTATCTGAGGCCGCACAATCAAAAATAATTGCGAGTTCGCAACTCCGTCAGCCAATCACTGACATACCTTGTAAGGAATTTACACGAATTTAATCGCCGATACACTTTATTTGAGAATCCACAGGATAAATCTTCGAAGGTTTTCGAATGCAAGAGAATAAGAACTGAAGAAGCAGGGGAGCAACTGCAACCAGAAAAAAAACACAGTCTGATTAACTGACAAACTTAGTTCAAGTACGCTTATATGATCATATTTTGTATTCCAATTTATCGGCATATGATTTGACAGTGAACTTGTTTCCCAGTATTAACCTTGCGTAACTAAATACGGCAGCAGCAAATAGACGAGGCGTTCCTTTAGACATAGCTCACGCAGAATGGGTGACGTGTGATGCGAGTCGTTATACTGTAACGTAACAAAGATGTCTTGAATTACATTAAAACATAAAGGGCTATTTAATTGAGCAATATGATCTCATATATAGTCGTTCAGTTTAAGTGCGATCAAATATTGATTTAACCAACCTTCTAAATTATTGCCGATGGCTCCATTTAGAAGTAGCATAGATGCCATTCAGTGGTTTGATTTAGGTAAAATGTGCAAAGGTTAGTAATAGGTTGGCCCAACTCAGCTAATTTAGTAAATAAGTTAATTAGTAATAAAATTAAGGTTAAGGTCAAGGTTTTAGGCCGGCATAAGGTCAAGGTAATTAATGCGTCATAGACATCTTCGCATTGTTGGGTCCAACCTAATTTGCATGCATTAGCAGGACTAGGGGCAAATTCCATGCATTAAATCAAGTTAACATAGAGAGGAAATGCACATATTATGCTGTACATTATACAGCAATCTAGAATGCAACATTTGTCACCTCCTTCCAAGCTCTCTCTGGCAATTCCTTATCCTAGACGTTAATAATTATTCAAACTTAATATCCGTGGTCTTCCTTTAAATTAAAACGGAAAAGAATTTCTTATAACCTCACCCCAAGCTAGACAGCAAGACCCCTCACCCCAAGCAAGACCCCTCACCCCAAGCAAGACTCCTCACCCCAAGCAAGACTCCTCACCCCAAGCAAGACCCCTCACCCCAAACAGGACCCCTCACTCCCTAAAGGTCTTGAGGCCTCCCGAGCCCCAACTACCGCACCACCACCATCCTGTGCCCCTACCAGCCCCCGCCACCGACCACCGCACCACCACCCCTCCTCCCTACCAGCACCCGCCACTACCCCGCTCCCCGATTATCATCCGCCACCATCCATCACTGCTTTGCGCCAACTACCACCACCCGTCCTCCTACCACCAGCCTCCACCACGCAATCACTGCCTCGCGCCCCTACCACCACCCCGCCACCAAGCTACCACAACCTCATGCCCCTACTACCACCCGCCACCACGCCTCCACTACCCCGCGACCTGATCACCACTCGCCACCACCACCTCACCACTCCCCACACCCCCGACCACCGCCCGCCACGACGAAGGCGTCATATGGGCAGCGCACGCGCCACACCTGCGGCTGGCCAAGCTTCGCTCGTTGTCTTGCTGACCTCCAGCCTCCTCTTCTCCTGACCCCAGACGTCGGTTACTGGCTCCTGGTGGCCCATAAGGAGCTTCTGTTGACCCTAGGGAGCTTCTGATGGCACTGAGTAGTGATCAACAAGCCTCAGGTGGCCCTTAGTAATAGTCCATGCATTTCTAATGCCCTAAACCTGTAGCGCAGAAGGTTCAAATGACACTAATTAGTATTCCGGGAGTTTTTCTAGCTCTAAGTAGTAGTCAAAAAGATCCTGTTGGCTATAAGTAGTAGTCTTGGAACTTCTGATGGACTTCAAATGCTGTTTAAAAGCTTCTGTTGGCCCCGGGTTACAGTTTAGGAGTTTCTGTGAGGTCTGCAAGAGAATTTGGATCGTTTTTAGGGCAATAAGTAGTGGTCAAGGAACTCCAAGAAGCCATAAGTAGAATCGAGGAGTGTCACAGAGAACACTAAGTAGTTATGGAAGTTCTTCAGGAAGCCCTAAGTAGTAGTCAAGCAGTTTCAGAAAACATTTATTCGTAGTCGAGGAGCTTCAGAAAAGCCTTAGTAGTAGACGAGGAGCTTCAGGCAGACCATGGTACTAGACGAGGAGCTTTAGGTAGTCCCTAGTAGATGTAGAGAAGCTTCAGGAAGCCCTTAGCAATAGTGAAGTTTCATAAAGTCCTTAGTAGTGTGATGCATCAGGCAGGAGCTTCAGAAAGCTCTTAGTAGGAGACGAGGAGCTTCAGAAAGCCCTTAGTAGTAGTCGAGAAGCTTCATGAAGCCCTTAGTAGTAGTGGAGAAGTTTCAGAAAGCCCTAGTAGGAGTTGTGGAGCTTCAGGAAGCCCTTAGTAGTAGTCGAGAAGCTTCATGAAGCCCTTAGTAGTAGTGGAGAAGTTTCAGAAAGCCCTAGGAGGAGTTAAGGAGCTGCAGGAAGCCTTAAGTAGTAGACGAGGAACCTAAGAAAGCCATGATTTTCCTTTAAGAGTAGTCCAAGAGCCTCTAGTGGCCATTAGCAATAGTCCAACGGCCTCTAGTGGCCATTAGGAGTAGTCCAAGAGCCTCTAATGGCCATTAGGAGTAGTCCAAGAGCCTCTAGTGGCCATTAGGAGTAGTCCATGAGCCTCTTAATTGTGGCCATTAGCAGTAGTCCAAGAGCCTCTAGTGGCCATTAGGAGTAGTCCATGAGCCTCTTGTGGCCATTAGCAGTAGTCCAAGAGCCTCTAGTGGCTATTAGGAGTTGTCCAAGAGCCTCTAATGGCCATTAGGAGTAATCCAAGAGCCTATAGTGGCCATTAGCAGTAGTATAAGAGCCTCTAGTGGCCATTAGGAGTAGTCCAAGAGCCTCTAGTGGCCATTAGAAGTTGATTAAGAGCCTCTAATGACCATTAGCAGCAGTATAAGAGCCTCTAGTGGCCATTAGGAGTAGTCCAAGAGCCTCTAGTGGCCATTAGAAGTTGATTAAGAGCCTCTAATGACCATTAGGAGTAGTCCAAGAGCCTCTAGTGGCCATTAGGAGTAGTCCAAGAGCCTCTAGTGGCCATTAGGAGTAGTCCGAGAGCCTCTAGTGGCCATTAGGAGTGGTCCATGAGCCTCTAGTGGTCATTAGCAGTAGTCCAAGAGCCTCTAGTGGCCGTTAGGAGCAGTCCATGAGCCTCTAGTGGCCATTAGGAGTAGTCCAGGAGCCTCTAGTGGCCTTTAGTAGTCCAAGAGCCTCTAATGTCCTTAATTAAGGAGAAGTCCAAGAGCCTTTTTATGAGCTCAAAAAGGACATTATATGTGCCTCTTCATGAACTATTACTCCTCACTGAAATACTTTTCAAAATCTCATTTTTTATTTCAAAAGAAATATGAAAAATATTTCATATATTACAAAATTAAAATATGAAGAGTTTATTTCATTTGTGTACGTATTGTGAAAAAGTTATTTTTTAGGGAAAAATCTGGAATAATCTTCTGTCAGGGAAGCAATTACGCTTCATGGGTGCTTGCCTGGGAGTGAGAATTTTTAATATTGCCCCAGCGTTATTAATATTTAATTTGCATTGACGTGGAATTTTCATACTAAACTCATGATAAACTGAACAGTAATACAATGATGATATTTGAAGCTTTTATAAAAGAGAGATGAATGAACTTGATATCACTAGTACATAATTCAAATATGCTCCACACATAAAAATATAAATTGACACACAAATATAACACAACAAACAGACATATATAAACACATAAATTATTTTTATGTCAATTAATTGCAGCATTTAATTTGTTTATTGATCCAATAATAAATGTTTACACTTATATCACTTATTTTAATGATTTTTAAGCTCTTTTTCCTATTTTCTCGAGGCTGGAACTTTCTAATCACGAATGTTTTAGCCCGCGCTTTCTCCCGGCACTTTTCAATTAAATCTAACTTATTTTTTCAGCTTTAATTACAGCTTTCTATTGTCGCTTCATTATCAATTATCGCTTAGAGTGTTTTTGCTTAGCACGGGACGGTATTTAATTACTAGAGCTCGTGTGATGGGTTCATGTGATGGGTTCATGTGATGGGTTCATGTGATGGGTTCATGTGATGGGTTCATGTGATGGGTTCATGTGATGGGTTCATGTGATGGGTTCATGTGATGGGTTC